TAACTTCATGCATTCTAGTTTTTAATGCACCATAGCTATAACAGAAGTACTCAATCACTTGTGATTATTTTAAATGAATGGGAAAAAGAGCATTAAATTGCATCAATTTCACATTATCAAAATTGCAATCATATTTAATGCCAAGTAAAATATTACAGTGACATAATCAAATATTAACACAAATATTAAACCAAACAATACATGGATTTCAACAAAAAAACAGTTGATACCATTAGAAAACAAATACAGACCGATAGAATCAGCTGTCCTACGGTTTCACTCGAGCAATTCGCATCATTCCATTGATCTATCGGTACTTCTAGAATTACAAGAGCCAAAAGGAAACAAAAAAGAAAATGGACTTCCGTTTCTCCCGCTGCTTCTACTTGAGCTACAGTTACCGCTCCATCCTTACACCGGTACCATGAACCATATCACTGAAATCTTGAACAAATCCCTCATCACAACCAAAGAAAACCGCAAGTAGCCGTCCCAATCTAATCGCATGATATTCCATTTTTCTAATATGAAAATAATGTATATTTTCTATTTAGTTGGATTATAACTAAGGACTTTGTAGTCATTAGTGCATAATTGGAGGGCATAGTGGCCAATTTACCACTTAAGTGAAATATACGGGTTGTTCGGCAATTGCTTATGTTTTGTATTATAACAAATTCGAATTTTAGAAGTAGACACTACTACAAAAAAGAGAAAAGACAGCGCTTTTTGGGCCTTTAACAGCGCTGTCTAAACAGCACTGCTAAAAGAAAAGATAGCTCTTTTTTTTAACGTAAAAGCGCTGCCTTATGTCCACTTTAGACAGCGCTTGGTAATTTTTTCCAGGTAGGCTTTAGACAGCGCTTTCCTTTGAAAGCGCTGTCTATTTCCCCACTTTAGACAGCGCTTTCAGACTTTAGGCAGCGCTTTTTTTTTTAAGTTTTTACAGCGCTTTTTTGCTAAAGCGCTGTCTATTGTTTCCAATTTTTTTTTAATAAATTATCTATTTTAGTCAGAATTTTTATCATATTTGGTAGCTTCATTCCAATATTTGGTAGCTTCATTCCAATATTTTGATCCAGGTTTTCAGAATTATCTTTTATGCTCCATATTTGATAGATTCATTACAATAAAGACAACAACAACAACATTTATACATCTTTTTATAAGTTATGATACAAGTTAAAATTCTATACAAGATATAGACAACAACATTTACAAAATTTATGATACAAGTTAAAATTCTACTAGGTAAAATGCCTAAAATATTCAAAATTGAATTTACATCTATACATCTTTCTATCTTCGAGAATTCTCATGAAACAACAACAACATGAATATCTTAGCTCTATCTTCTACACATATTTACCTATATACTTGGAAAAAAAAATCAAATGATCGAAATTCATAACATGATAATATTAACGTTGCACTTTATTCAAATTTAATTTATACTCAAAACTCGAAAGTTCTCATCAATGGAAATAAGACAATATACCTTAGCTTATAAAATTCTCAACCCGATAATGAATTGACACCATTCCTCCATAAGTTCATTCAATTGATCTTTTGAGTAATGTGCACAATTGAATTCCTCAAAGTACTACATATATAATAATATAACATAGTATGTGATTTAGTTAAAACAATATGTCATTTTATGAGAAACACAAATTATAAAAATAGTATGTAATTCATAAGTTAGAAATCTATACCGTAGATGAAATATCTAATCGATCTAAAAGAATGGTTTCGTTCATAAACCTCAACATAAAATAGCCACAATCTATACCGTTACGCTGACGAGGATACTACACATGGAAAAAAATACGAATATATATCAGGATATACCCCTTAAATTGTTTTATCAAGTATCATCACTAAAGTAAACAAAACTGAATATCTCTTTGTGAAAATATACCTCCACTCTGATCCATGTAACGTTGTTCGCTCTACTTTTTGGTACTTGAACATCTCGTTGGGAGCGAAAAGCAAGTAGAACGCTATAGAATCATAAACATAAACACAAATCCAGATATGTTGACCATAAACATAAGATATAGTCTATGTCGCATTATTCACATAAGATATAGTCGAGAACCATTCATGGGGAAGCAATTCATCTTTTGCCGTTCACTACGAAAAAAACAATTTTTGGCAGCGCATCTACGAAAGCGCTTTTAAGAGAAAGCGCTTTCGTAGCCTTTAAAAAAAATTCGCTTAAAAAAAGCGCTTTTATAGGGTTTCCTATGAAAGCGCTTTTCAGAAAGCGCTTTCATAGGTATTTGAAATATCTAACCTACGAAAGCGCTTTTGAAAAGTGCTCTTATAGGTGGCCCTATAAAAGCGCTTTTGAAAAGCGCTCTGAAAGGGGGACCTACGAAAGCGCTTTCTAAAGCGCTCTTATATGGGGGACATACGAAAGCGCTTTTTACCTCAAAAACGGTCTCATATATGGGTCTTAGAAAGCGCTTTTAAAAGCGCTTTCGTAGGTTATTTTATAATTAAATTAAATATCCCTAAATACGAAATTTGCCCTCACTTGTTCATTTCTTCGTCTTCTTCATTTCTTCTTCCTGTTACCGGAAACTGCTCAAAGAGAAAAAACCTACGTTCTCAACCATAGTACGAACTCACCTTTTTCTTTCCCAAAATTCATAAACTATCTTCTTTCCCAACGAGTTAATTTGAACCACCTTCGTTGTTCTCTCCATCGAGCTCAAAAACCTTCTTCTCTCCATAAAACCAAAATTCCATTCACGAAAGCAAAAACCCTAAAACAAAAATCAATTGAAATTGGAACGCAAAAGTCCCAAATATACCATAAAACCCTAAAGTTGATTGAACCCATAACTCGAGAATCAATTGAAACCATAAAACCACTTTCACTCATCTTTTTGTTAATTCTGAAGTGAAGCAGAGCAACCTGTTCAGTTCACCAAGGTGAATGCAACAAGGTAATCTTAAGTCAAGACAACAACTTTTGGCCTCAGAGTCCTAACTTCCCACAGGTTTTCAATTGATCATACGTTGTAAATTAGGCTCACATTGATTTGGAGATTAAAAATGGATATGCACGCAATTGAAGTTCCATACATTGATTCTATATTGTGCCTAATCAATTTACATTTTTTGTGTATATTTATATGTGATTGATTTATAAAATATATTCAGTCTAAATCTTACAACTCTCTGATATCTGTTGGGCTTGTTATTGTGGCTGTGGTTTTTCTTATTGGTTATTGTTACAACATTTCAGGTGGAGCCAGGGTTTTAAAAAATGGTTTGCCATGCGAAACAGTTGTGACAAAATGGTTCGGAAAATGCCGATACCGATACCGTTTTGACAATTTTATATGTTATACATTATGGTTATGGTTAATTCACACTGAGACAACCGCAATCAGAGTCGCGACACCGATACCAACCGAAATCGCGAAAGCCTTAACGCGACCACAACCATTTTTTAAAACCATGTGTGGAGCTAGAAATGATATTAAGGATGTGAGTAAACTTGAAGGTGGTTCACCATGTAAATTAAAATTAATACATGCATTGCCTATTTTGAAGAAAGCATGTGGAAAAAACATCCATATAGTTTTGCACGTTGTCACTAACACTTGTTATGTGCTATCTAGTTTGTGAGCATAAGAGGATACAGAGGCTTGGAAAACATAACCATATGAATTAGATGATGTAGGTGCAAAATAAAAAAGTCTTGTACACAAGGGATTTGTGTATGTGGCTGACATAAGATTTCATTTACCTTACTGTGCAAAGTCATCTTCTCTTGTCATTGTCTTAGATGCATTGGATTACTTATCTGAAAAATACTTGAATAAAAGCCCTCCAGAGTTAGTGAGGGTATCTGCTGTAACTGTGGTTATTTTTTCAGGTTATCTTGGTCAGTAGAGTTAGAATTGGAGTAGGTCCATATTGACCATGCAGCCAAATTGTGGAGCTCATTTTGGAGGATTAGGTTTCTCGTTTAAACAAGATTAGAAGAAAATGAAATAGTTAGAAAGAAGTTTCTGTAGGCTTCAGCCAAGAAGGCGTATACACCAACTTGCCAAGTTTTCGATCTTAATCATTCTTATGGAAACTTTAGCGTCTGACTCGACTTTTTGGTAAGCCATACTGACAAAGCTGACACTTCAAGCATACAAATGCTAAAAGTTTCGACATACATTATGTACTTTATTTACTTTATTTGTAAATAATTTTTTCTTGATAATTTTTCATATGTGAAGACCACCACAAAAGCTCCTCTCTGTTTCTATATTATTTACTAGCTGATGAAATTTACTATTTTTGACACTTTAAAAGGTGAGTTCATTTCTTTAAACAATTTCTGATGCTGTTACTATTGTTGTTGTTGCTATCCCGGAGGGTTTGCCATTAGCAGTGACCTTGACTCTTGCTTATTCAATGAAGAAAATGATGGCTGATCAAGCTATGGTCAGAAAACTTTCTACATGTGAGACTATGGGATCTGCTACTACTATTTGCACTGATAAAACAGGTACTGTTACGAAATATAGAAGTTAGTTACAGTTAGTTAATAAATAGTTATCGATTCTCGGCTACTATCTTAAAGAAAAGCTAAACCTATTTTGTGTGATTTGTAACAGGTACACTCACTTTGAATCAGATGAAGGTGACAAAATTTTGGCTTGGTTTAGAACCACTGGAAGATGGTGCATATTTAAATGTTGATCCATTTGTTCTTCAGTTGATCAAAGAATGAGTTGCTCATAATACAACCGGTGGAGTTCATGAATCTAAATCAGTTTCTGATTCAAAATTTGAATTTTCTGGTAGTCCAACAGAAAAGGCAATATTATCTTGGGCTGTTTTGGAATTGAATATGGAGATGGAAACTTTGACAAAAAGTTGCTCTATTCTTCAAGTTGAAACTTTCAACTCAGAAGAAAAGAAGTGGAGTTTTGTTGAAAAGAAATGTTAACAAAATTAATGCACACTGGAAAGGAGCAGCAGAGATGGTGCTGAGAATGTGCTCAAAATACTATGATGCTTATGGCATTGTGAAATATCTTGACAATGAAACCATGTCGAAATTCGAAAGCATTATTCAAGGTATGGCAGCTAGTAGTCTTCGTTGCATCGCTTTCGCATATGCTGAAGTTGATGTTCAAGAGCTAGGAGATGAACGAGAAAACAGCGGGATAGTGGTAAAAGACAATGGTTTAACATTGTTAGGACTTGTTGGTATTAAGGATCCGTGTCGTCCTGGGGTGAAGACTGCGGTGGAAGCTTGCCATCATGCTGGTGTGAATGTCAAAATGATTACAGGTAGTTTAACTGATGTTACAATATGCTGGTGTGAATTGTCCCATTGGCTAAACTTTGCAGGCCATGACAATAGTTTAATGATGTTAGGAATGCTATTTGGCTAGGTTTCAGATATGACAATAGTTTAACTGATCCAAACACACAGAGTACTAGTTGTACTGCACTAGAACTTGAACTAAAATATCTTTATAAATAAATGCACTTTGCTAGTGCTTTCTATCACAACATCTGAATCTCTAATACGATCTTACAATATGCTTTCACGTTAGTGCCATATGCCCATCAGCTCTAATGCATAATTATGATCTATGACAAACCATGTTTATAGTAACAGAGATTGCAAAGTGCAATCATATCAAATTGACATGTATCTAATGCAGCATACATGTTGTTCTAACACGTTAAGTACTACAATACAAGACTACCATAATTATAATTATTGCCTCATAAACCCAGTCAAACTTCACATCTTTGCATAAGGAAACACAAGTTGTTCTAATTTCTGAGAATTAAGAAATCCAAATTCACAAATCAAAATTAGTTATTAGTCCTATTAGGTTAGAAACATGTGTTAATTGATAAATATGATTTGTCTACTCTGACAGAAATGTGTCACTATTTCTGCTAAGTATTTGACCTATTTATCTAACTATCTATGGAATTCAAAATCTAAGGTTAGGTACTAAAAATTCCATAGAAAACCTGTTTAGGACGGAAGCAGACATAGATTGTGAACATGCTCAAGTTAATAACATACTATGATACTAGTCAAGGAAGACTTAGGTAATTTATTCACACCTCGTGAATTTTCATGATGGGAATATTGGTAGTGAGTAATTGAGGTTTTCATGATAAACCACCTAGAAACTTGCATTTCAACAAAACTAGGACATTATCATTATCATAATCATATACCACAAATAAGACTTCATTCTGGCTAAAGAAAACTAAAAACGCAAACCTTCAAATGAGCATTGTGACGTTTTCCCTCCCTCCAACGCCTAAAGCTCCCATCATTCATTAATCTGAACCTGGACTTGTAAGACCTGCTCCAAATATAGCAAAATCACTCGCTCCAAACAAAAGACACAAACATTACTTGGTTTTCTGAGTGTGAAGAAGAGATTATGAAGATTAGTTCATATTGTTAAGGTGTAATCTAGTTAGTTTTTGTGTTTACAGTTAGATTAATTTCCTATTTTATTTCTTGTCAGTTAGGTATGGTTTAGCATTTTTTAATTTTTAGGTTTTTCTAATTTTTGTGGCATTAGTGATTGTGTCTGCCCATACAGTAAACATGTTTCTCAAAGGGAAGCATGAGTACCACGGTCTAAATCAAACAACATTAATTGGATCAAAGTACAGGTATATAAATTTCAACAATTTTGCTTATAATATTTATGCTACTTGATAAATCAATAGATGTGTATAATCTTATTTGTTTTTCTATGTAGTGCCCTCAACAACAAAACGGCATAGATTGTGGATACTTCGTTTTGAAGTTTATCAAAGAAATCATTCAAATGAATGAAATCGAGATTCCAATCACGGTATGGATTTATACTTTGTTTTATTACTTATCGGATTTTGCATATAATTTATTACATTAAACTAAATCATGCATATATTTTGTTTTATAATGTAGTATTTTGATCAATACAATTGTCCATATTACTCGGCACGTCAATTGGAAGAACTCAAAGAGGAGTTGTGCCAATATTTTATTGAGCTAAGAATCTTATAATAAGGTACGAATACATTGTTGTGTGAAAATTGGTTAATTATGAATATATTGTTTTGTGTATACAACACTGACCGTGTTATTATGTTCATATTGCAGGATCAGGACCTTGGATATATATATAGATTATGATTGATTTACTTAGTGTTATATAGCTGATTTCTTAGGGTGTATTTTGTTACGTTTAAAAACATGTTAATATTGAATTACCATGGTGTATATATATTTTGGATATGAATTGATTATAATGGTATTTGTATATATATATAATATTTGGTATTTGAATTACATTTGGTATTTGGATTAAAACTAATATATATATTGGTATTTTTAGATTAGATTGTAAAATACCGGTTTAAGAATTACAGGTTTGCTGCAAAAAAATGCAGGTTTAGAAATTTTTTAAATTTTAGATTTTTCAGTAGAAAACCTATGAAAGCGCTTTTAAGAAAAAAGCGCTCTCGTAGGCCTACCTATGAAAGCGCTTTTTGATTAAAAGCGCTTTCATAGGTAGGCCTACGAGAGCGCTTTTTTCTGAACAAAAAGCGCTCTTATAGGCCTACTTTAGATTGCCTGACACGCATTCTGAATACACCTATGAAAGCGCTTTTTTATAAAAAAGCGCTCTCGTAGGCCTACCTATGAAAGCGCTTTTTACCAAAAAGCGCTTTCATAGGTAGGCCTACGAGAGCGCTTTTTTCTGAACAAAAAGCGCTGCTAAAACCTTTAGCAGCGCCACCTACGAGAGCGCTTTTAAGCGCTTTTAAAGCCCAAAAAAAGCGCTTTCGTAGGTTATTTCTGGCATAGTGGTTGCTTTGAGATTCAAACAACTTTATTGTGTAATTTGATTTAAATTCGAAAGTTCGCATGATTGTGACATCGGGTTCTTTATCATTTTGTTTCAAATCTTCTTGAGTTGAAACTATCGAGCATTCATAACTTGTTATAGTTGCTTCCCGGTTTTTGTTTAATCGAATAAATCATGTGTTGAAATTAGTTTTCCATGTTCTGATTCTTAAATTGTATAACAAAATGAGTTCTTTGATTTTATTTTCATTTGAGGATTGGTATCGTGATTTTATTCTCAACTCTATGCATTTTCAATGATAGTGTGCTTATTAAAAAGTTGGTTAAGACTTTTTTGTATTGGTGTAGTTAGTCAAAGACTATCACCGATTTGAAGAACATTAAAGCAGCATCATCCGCAGTCGGCACCAATAACCCCTCTTCTTTCTTTGGTAAGTCAAGTTCAAATTCAACATTACCGACTCGTTTATTTATTTACTATCTGCTTCCTAAATTATAAAACATTCTATCTATATCAATTAAAAAGAACAATTAATTTTATATAGAATAATTAATTTTAGTCTATATCGATCTAAAACTAATCCGATTAAATCTTACGAAATATTTCTAAAAGTTTGTATTAATATTCTTTTTGTGTCGCGAAAGTGTTTTTCTGTATGTTCTTTTGAAATAGTTGCGCGAATAATTATAGTGTTTTTATTTATCTTAATTAGTAGTAATTCCATGGATAAAAAATGGATGACTGTCGATCGATTGTCAAAAGAGTACGAGAATTGGGTATTAGTATTCGTTAAGTTTGTTATTGAACACGTCAAAGAAACTAGTCGAATGAAATATCCTTGCTTGGGTTGTCGTTATGTTGTTCGAGTTGCCGCGGATGGATTGAAATCGCATTAACTGGAGTGTGGGATTTATCGAAGTTATAAGTGTTGGATATATCATGGTGAGAAAATTAACGAGAATGTTAAATCGGAGGAGAAAAGTAACACGACGACCTATGCTCCAGACGATAATGACACGGATACATACGATTGTGATCGAGTCGAAGAGATTGCAGAAGCACTTGAAGAAGATCTTAAGGATTATCCCAAAATATTTGATAGGTTGGTAAGAGATGAAGAGAAACCGTTGTATAAAGGCTGCACTAAATTCACAAGATTGTCTGCGGTATTAAAGTTGTACAACTTAAAGTCGGGCAATGGATGGTCAGATAAAAGTTTCAGAGTTATTAGCCCTTATGAGAGATATGCTTCTGGAGGATAATGTTCTTCCTAATCAAACCTATGAGGCCAAAAAATGGTATACTTTATTGGCATGAGCTATGATAAGATACATGCTTGTCTAAACGATTGTGTTTTGTTTCGAAATGAATATGCATCATTAAATGAGTGCCCTAAATGTGATTTATCTCGATATAAGAAAAAATTGTCTCCAGCAAAAGTCTTATGGTATTTTCCTATAATTCTGAGATTTAGGCGCGTGTTTCATAGTGAAACCGATGCAAGACACTTGACTTGACATGCAGATGAAAGAATTATTGATGGAGAGTATCGACATCCGGCAGATTCACCATAGTCGTCGAAAATTGATGATGATTATCCTGATTTGGGAGAAGAAGCAAGAAACCTTCACTTGGCATTATCTACTGATGGAATGAACCTAGATGGTCTTCAAAGTATCTCACATATTACATAGCCTGTGATTCTTATGATTTATAACCTACCTCCATGGCTATGTATGAAGCGTAAGTACATGATGTTATCTATGTTAATTTTTGGGCCTAAACAATCAGGGAATGACATAGACGTATACTTGACACCTTTGATCGAAGATTTAAAGATTTTGTGGGAGAACGGCGTGGAGGTTTATGATGGATATAGGAAAGAAAGTTTCAATTTGAGGGCAATGTTGTTTGGCACAATTAATGATTTTCCAGCATACAAAAATCTATCTGGATATAGCATTAAAGGTCAACGTGTGTGTCTTGTTTGTGAAGATGGAACCGATACGACGTGATTGGAACTTCGTCAGAAGAATGTGTTTCTCGGTCATCATAGATTCTTACATTCTAAATATTACTACCGTGGATGGAGAAAAGCATTTAATGGAAACATTGAACAACGTAAATCTCCACTTGCATTGTCAGGTGACCGAAGTAGGCCGACTACTAGAACGTAAATCACTTATGACCACGACTAATGCCGTGTGATCTTTAGTTCGTGCCTTGCTATTTTATCTGGGATGCTATGTGATCAGGGTATGTCAAAAACACCAAAGTTGTCATTATGATGCCCTTATGTGGGTCCATGTGTGGCGTTTCCACCAGTTGTTAATAAAATCGTGTGCTTGGTATCATGGGGTTGGGATACCAAGTAGGCAACATCACTTCATGGATATCTAACTCATCTCTAATGGTGTCATGTAGGCAAAACCATGAGGCTTTCTCTCAATGGGCCCGTGTTGTCAAGATGGCGTTTTTACACTGACAATTAATCACATGTGTTTTGATGACGGACGAGTTGTGATGCGTCATCGGAAAATTTCACTCCTGGACTTGCCACAGATGAAATTCAATTTAGGAATGATCTGAACCATCATGCTGTTATCGGGGAAAGTCTCTTGATGCTATGCACGAGTGTAACTCACCAAGAGAGTGATAGTGTAACCTTGTTAGGGGCATTAACGTACTTCTGGATTCCTCGTACATGGATACGGGTCTGCATACTTGTTTGTATTTGAATATGAGTTTGTTATTGCCTCATTGGATAGTTATGGGACTTCCGATGACTGTGTACCTTTGTTGTGTATTTGTATCTAGCCGTGAGAAGAAACCTGGATTCATGGTGATTCCGTTTTGTTGAATGCATCTTGTAGAACAAGTAAACCCTCAAAATGGGGAGGCTCGCTGAGATTTATTAATTTCACCCCATTACAATTATTATTTTTCACATTCTTCGATGCAGGATCCTGGCAAGGGTAAGATGGCTTAACTTGTCGGCGATGTTTCTTGGTGATGTTCCTTTTTTTTTTTTCTTATTCAGTTCATGTACTATGGATATGTATTAGTACTTTAGAATTTGTATCATTTTAACCATAACAGTTTCGGCGATTTGTAAACTTTTACTAATGCATGTTCTTATTTTTCGCTACTTATGTATGAATTTATTTTAATGTTATTATACAATTTACATATTATCCTAGACAATGATATGTATGAGGTGTTACAAACCGACTTCATGCAATTATAACACCAATGAATATCCCTATTAATGTTTGACGCACATGGACTTATTCAATTTGTCAATGTTCCTACAATCCTAATTTTTCTTTTTGAAGCTAAAATGTCATCTTAGTTACCATACATGAAAGCTTTCGTCTAATAGGGGATTAGTAATTAGTTTTGACTCGCATATAATTTGTTAGTCATGCAGCTTGGTGGAGGAGAAAGTTAAATTAGAAGAGCTAGCTTGTTCAGATAATACAATTTTGATAGCATTAACTTCCATTACAATACAGGGAAGATACTTTATGGCGTAAGCACAATCATCCACTAAGTAGTCAAAGATAATGAACATTCAAACTTATATTGTTAAAATCAATTACGATATGCTTCACTAAACCAAATGTGTAAATGTAAAATGTACATTTATCTAATCTATATCAGAAGAATTTATAACTACTTCGGAATTACGTCTCGATTCGATGATCAGCTCGAATGTTTTCTACTCAAGTTTTTACAATTATGAGATCTCAAAATAAAACACATCATATTGGTAGAAAATGTCTAACAATTTTGAATTTATATATTTGAAAATATTGTCACAACAAAATCTTTAAAGTTTGAGACTATACATTCAAAGTATAATAATTGAACTTAGACATAGCCAACATGTTACCAAAGAAAACGTAGATGACAAAACGTTTTGCGTTT